CTTCTCTGGTCCCAAGTGCCACTGCTCCCTGTGGTCCTTGAGAGACATCCTCTTACTCTTTACAATCACACCTGGTCCGGCAATGACGGCCCAGGGAGAGTTTCTGAAGAGAGGGGTCTGAGTAGGAATGCAAACAGAGTAAATGGAACGCCCCACACAGAGGCCAAAGTCTCTAGGTTTAGGGACTCCAAAGTGCCCGCTGACATCTCATTGTTCAGCCCCCTCATCAGGTATGATCCAAGCCTCCTCCACAGTTCCTGGCCGCAGCAGGTGGGCCTGGACCCCATCTCAGAAACCTCTGCCTCCTCCAGCAGGCTTCCACATGGAAGAGGAAGGACAAGCCAAGGTCCCACAGAGGAATCTCCAGGCCTCCTCCCCACCACCTCATCCCCAGGCAGAGAATCTTGTTAAACAGAAGACTTCATGCCTCAGTTGAAATCTTTGTACTTGGACTATTGCCCTTGTATCTGCTCTTCCCCAAGAATAACAGAGGAGTGTGTGTCCCACACCTTCTGGTTAAAGGATCTTCCCAAACAGCAACAAAAAGACTTGCTCTAAGAACCCATGCTTTGGAATAAACATATATAAATATTTGTTGGAAAGAAATGACAGAATGAATGGTCTCCAAGCTGGCATGCCTATCATTAGTTTTATGTTCATTTGCTTATAAACTGATTTTTTTAAAAAAATACCATAACCAATATTAGTCCTGCACTTCATAAAGACTAACTTAAAAACGATATAAATGTGTCAAATAAAAAAATAATTTACAATAATTTATTATAAACTATAAAGATGGACTCTATTAAGAGAAAAAAGTAGATTCCTGGTTATAAAACTTGCTACAAATGTAAAGATTCATGTATTTCCATATCCAGCCTAGAGAATGAAGCTCCAGTTGGTATTTCCCAATTATGCTCAAACATAAATGTTTTTATGATTCTTGAATGAGAATCAGTGACCCACAGGGTCAAGCATACTGAAGGTATTTGATGGTTGGTTTTTAAATAAATAAGGGTATATATATATGTGTGTGTGTATATATATACATATATATATA